CTGCTGGGGGGGCCCCAGGGATGGGTGAGTGGGCGCCGCCTCAGGGCGGTGTGCCGCAAGGTGGGGCGCCGGACGGCGGGCCGCGAAGCGTACCCTGGGGTGGGCGTTGCGTCCGGGCAGATAGGGGGACCTCGGGACGGACCCCCGGTGAGGTGAGGTGAGGGGACGGGGCGCGTCGCGGTGGCAGAAGACGATGCTGTCATCCGAGCTCGTCTCTTGATGGCCGGGGGCTGCCGTGACAGCGGTGGTCGGCGGCGGGCAGAGCCCTGGGTGGCCGCGGCGGTCCGGTGTCGGGACGTGAGGGAAGCGGGGAGCGGCCGTGCCCGTGCCCGTGCCCGTGCCCGTGCCCCCGCAGGCACGCTCAGTGACAGAAAGGGGAGCCACGGGCCCCACCGGCTTCCCGCCCCGCTTCCGAGAGCCCGACCCCTGCTACCGTATCTCCACCGAAATAACGAGCGTCCGTTCACGGCTCGGCAGCGAGCCCTCGATCGGCTCAACGCCTTGCGTTCCAGCCCCGAAATCTCGAATTAATCCATGCGATGCTACTGATACGCGAAACCTGTATAACTTGGTTTGGAACGAAGGTATTTTGGGAGAGATCGTGCTTTTTCTTTCACGTGGCTTCAGACGAAGAAGAGAATTGTATGTTTAACTCAAAGGCAATTGGGAAAATGCTTAGACAAAGTGTACATTAACCCCCGAAAGGACAAGCAGTTGTTTAGCGTATCATGCTAGTACATTTATAATTCAATAAATTACAGCGTTGCTTCTTTTAGGTGTCTGGGAGCCACGTGTGTAACCAGTACAGGACATCAGGGTCTTCGCTGGAGGAAAAAAAAGAGTTGCTGCAAAATGGACCAGACTTACAAGACTTTGTATCTGGAGAGTTGTCAGACAAGAGCACGTGGGCTGAGTATAAAGGCAATTTAAAGCGTCAGAAAGGAGAAAGGTAACCGTGATTTTGAATAACTGCAGTTGCTTCCACACACTATCTTCTGCGTTTAGTATTAACTACAAAGCGTATACAATGTATTTTTATTAAATTCTGCCATACTGGTTTGCAAGTTTCATAATTTTTCAAGAAAGAACAAACACATTATTAACTTCAAATGCATAACAAACCATGAAGACATGGTGGTGTTTTCTCACTTGAGTGCCTATGCCATGGCCTGTATTAAATTACAAATGTGCATCAGTAGGTGAGTATACCCTACTTGAGTGTTGAAAAAATATTGTTGATAGAATTAAAGAAAAAATGAAGACTCAATTAAAAAATACTTAAAACTCCCATATTTCCAGTTATAAATTTGATCAGACTTTTGTGATAGCTGTGTAACATATGTTGCCATTAATTGTTGCAGTCTCCAGTGTGGCACTATTAAATCCCACTGGTGCACATGTTCCAATGACAACAAACTCCTATTCTTGAATGTTGGGATGATGAAAAACATCGAAGAGAGAAGTCTGTTATGAATGAATGGTGCTAATATTGGTTGCTGAGTTGCATCAGTTTTCAAGGAACCTTTCCTAGTTGGGATCTGTAACAAATTAAAGTGGATCTATGAAATTAATGGAAGCTTACCCTGTAAATAATTTATTAATTTTTATGTTTGCTTGATGTTATTCAGGCTGCGACTTCCTCCATGGCTGAAAACAAAGATTCCCATGGGAAAGAACTACAATAAACTAAAGAATACCTTGAGAAGTTTAAATCTTCATACGGTAAATCTAGTACCAACCAAGTTTTCCTGTAGAAATAAGGCATTTTTTAGAGATACAAAATTATTTCTCTGTGGAGGCCAGGTAGAAACCGTGTCTTGTGTGATCTTCAATGCTGAAACCAAGCCCAATTTCACATTTTTCCTGCTGTGATTTTAAATACTAGGGTTTACTATTTGCATCACCAAAGAGATCAGAAGATGCTATGTGTGACTCTTTTAATGGAAACACACATAATTTCAGAGTTACATACATGTTTTGCATGAAAAGAAATTCTAGAAATATACGTATTTCATTAAATATACCTTTCAGACAGTAAAAAGTGGTGGGGTGTAGGGTTCGGTGTTTGGAAGATCTCGCGATGTCACGGAAAGTTAGAGGGTTAGTCGCAGCCTTATGATGTGTTGGTAATCCCGCCTACCCTTGTTAGTATAAAAGGAATTGACTGCGCAATAAAAGGCGGAAGTTGGTGCTCACACTGTGTGTGTTATCTGTCTCTTTCCCTGGTCCGGGCTGACCAGTGATCTAATCGCGGCACCTTGATATGTGGCGAACGCTACAGTGGGGTATGCATGGAGAGCTTTTTTCTTTTTTTTTTTTTTTTCCAGAGTAAGAACATGCTTTGATGCATCATAGGCTTTGTGAACTTTTTATCAGTTTTTAAATTTAAAATGTTAATGACAATCTGTGCTAATTAAAAAGGCAGTTATGTGGTTGAGGAGTTTTTGGGAGTTGTGAAGTAGAGGAAAAGAGTGGTAATGGATGTCAGGAAACAATTCTTCCTATTTATTCTAATGACTTCTTACAGAACAACATGTAACTTCATTTCCTCATTTATCGCAGAAGGAATTTATGTTTTGTTTGTAGGCTAGTATTGAAACTCATCAATAATAATAATTTTTAATAATAGTACGGAAAAAAGACAGGTACATTACTGTCTTTTACCTTTAGGTATGTGAAGAAGCACGTTGTCCCAACATTGGAGAATGCTGGGGAGGTGGTGAATATGCTACAGCTACAGCTACTATTATGGTAAGCCATTAACCATTTCTTAAGTATTCTATTAATGTTTGAGGTGTTTGTAGTGTACTGTTGAATCTCTACTGTAGTGGAGTGGGTTTATTACAAGTAATTTGAGTAAAGCACTGTCCTAGGTTTTTTGCTCAGTATTGGGATTTATCTGACCTAGGTCATGCAGCTTTTTCTCAGCTGAGCAATAGTGATGTGTACAATGTAAAGGTAGGAATGTCTTTCTTATTTCAGCTGATGGGTGACACATGCACTAGAGGTTGCAGATTTTGTTCAGTAAAGACAGCAAAAAATCCACCTCCACTGGATCCCAAGGAGCCTTACAACACAGCAAAGGCTATAGCTGAGTGGGGCTTGGATTATGTTGTATTGACGTCTGTGGACAGAGACGGTTAGTATGTTGTCTCTCATCTCTTCCAGTCTAAGCTCTCATAGGCATTACATGGCATAAACACAGACCTTGATAAACATTTATCACTCGGCGCAATTGTTCTGGATTGCTATTTTAAAGGAGTCGACAGTGCTGAAACTTTGGAAAGTTTCTACATATTCTTAGTATTTCTCTATGTCTGGTAAAACATAACAGAAGTTACACTGTTATTAAACATCAAGAATATTACAATACTAAATATTTTATAACTCATTTTTTGCAAAATACATATGTATACACCATATTCTATTACTTGATTAGCAAAAAAACCCACCCCACAAACATTCATGTACAATACCATTACAGAACTTCCTTCCCAAAACTAAACCTGGAATATATTATACTTAACAAAACTGAAAGTTGCCTTTTTCTAAGGTTGTAGTAGCTCCTTTGTGGTGGCACCACATAGGTGGGGGAAACCGTTGTAAAGGCTTTTCAGTATGGTGGAAAGTCCAGTGGCTTACAGTAAAAGAGAAATAATATATATATTTCAATTTTTGTAGAACTGTTTCTCAGACCAAAACCATAAATAGATTAATTCTGTGCTCAGGCTGACAGTGAACGTAGAAACGGGTAAATTCGGAGTAAACATTTGAAGTCTGCCCTAGATGATCACAGTTAGGCTTTGTGCAGAAGAAGGCTTGGCAGAATATCTGTTGCAAAACTTTGGCATAAGCAGTTAAGATAAGTCTGGGGTTTGACTGCTTTATTATTTTGCATTTAAATTTGAATCTGTAGGTTTTTTGTGGCTTTGCTAATAAATAAATAAATTTCTTGAACAGAAAGGTTAACTGAATAATTGAAATGCTTCTAGATATGCCTGACGGTGGAGCAGAACACTTTGCAAAGACAGTCTCTCATCTGAAAGAAAGGTATATCATTAATGTGTCACTATTATTATTATTAAAACTTTAGAATGTGGTACTGCATATAGGTCAACACTACCTTTAGCTGGATTATTCCAGGCACGCAAATACAAAAGTCTGCCTTTAGCCTATCTGTCCCCATTGGGTTTTTTCGTGTTTTTCATCTTTCTCATGTAACGGCCCTAAAATGTTTTGAATTTGGATGCATTTCTGGTTTAGCCCAGGCTTATTTAAAGCTAAGCACTGTATTATTTCTTTGAACAGGCAGCTGGTTCAGGAAATGAGTACATACTTTTGAGGTATGCTCATTCTCAAAGCTTGGGGCTCAAACACAGGGGATTTAGGTAACAGTGTCACCACATGACAGAAGAAGTCGGGTTTCTCTTTCAGCAGCGATCAGATTGCTTTGCGCGTTCCCACCATGGCTGTTTCTAAGTCCGTGATTGTACCTTCCTGCTTTCCCTAGCTGCGCCGCCTTCGTTCTACATTGGCGCCCTGTACGCCATTTGATAGCATACTTGTCTACCTGCAGATTTAATCCGTATAACCTCATTTAAGTCCTTATCCAGTGTATCTTGGCACTTGAAAGGTTCCCGCAGTTTTCCCAGCCTGCCTTTCTGAGCTGAAGTCTGGCTCCTGGACACCAAGATTAGAGTCCAGGGCGATAATGCAGAGTCTTCTCATCCCAGTAGCCAGGATTACAGCTCCTCTGTAGTTTGGAGCTATGAGGTGAAACTCACGTTAAGTTAACATGCAATGACGACACCTGAAAAATCACGCATAAACGGTGATTGTTCAAGAGACGGTTGGAATTGCTTTTAGATTTATTATTTGGCTTTTGTTCTGTTCCAGCTCGCCTCAGTAAAATTGGGAGTTGAACACATGCGGTTTTGTTTGAATCGTAATACAAGTATTTGCAGAAATCTGTTGTTTTAGAAGCGTGTCCTGAGTTAACTTTGCTTATCAGGGCGTTGTTGGTTTAGTGCTGTTGGGTTTTTTTGCTGTACTGAGTTTTTTTAGCCACAGGGACACAAGTCCCATAGGTGTGTTCATTTTGTCTCTCCCTTTCAGGAATTCGAAAATCCTGGTAGAATGCTTGACGCCGGATTTTCGCGGGGACCTTAAAGCTGTGGAGAAAGTGGCATTGTCGGGACTGGACGTGTATGCCCACAACGTGGAGACGGTGCCGGAACTGCAGAGGTAAGCGACACCGGTACGTGGAAAGGGAAGAAAGGACAAAGGGACAAGGGGGTTTGTGACAGGGCGTGGCGTGAAAAGGAGAGCCGGCGCCATGGAGCTGCGCTGAAGCTCTCGCTGCCGCT